ATCAGAAAAAAGTGATAGAGGAGAAATAAAATACAATCTCTTTCCTCAAAAAGATCATATTTGGGAGATATATAAGTAATTTCAGATAAATAATTACAATAATAACTCCAATCTAACAAACGTTTGCTAAACATCTATTATATGCAAGGTATTTTCCTAGTAACTGTCATTGTACATTGTCCTTCATTTATTTCTCTGTAACTGGATAGAGCACTACAGGTGTTGAGATTGATTGTCATTGGATTCATGAAATGTGACAGAAGCATCCCATGGAGAAAGACAGTTTAGTTGGAGAGAGAGAGGCTGGACACATGAAGATCCTTTCTTGTGTGGTAAATGCCAGCAAGGTGTGCCCCGCAGACCATGGGGAGGGGCTCCTGTGTGGCCTTGGGACTGGCTCTGGGAGTGATTCACAAATTTCCATTAATTTTTGTCTCTAAACTCCAGTGTAGATGGTTAAATTGGTCATCAGTAATATCTTCAGTCTCTTCCATAGACATTCATTTATGTACCTTCCCCCATCAATTGCTGTTGGACTCTCCCCACAACAGTTTCTTTTTAAATGATGGTTGTTTTTTCTCTCAGACCCTTCAAACCACCGATTTCTCAGACATTATACCTCCATCCATCCTAAAAATCCCCAACTTTGAATAGGATGGCCTTTATCACCCATAACCTGCCTTGCTGAGGCTATTCACAAATTCTGGGTCACTTTATTCCTTGAAGACATTAGCACCCTACTCTCCTCAGAAGTCTTCTTGTTCTTATTCTTGCCAATGTTCGTATTTACACAAATGATCCATGGAACATCCCATTTTCCTCTTCAAAATGTCTTGTTCTCCACCCCAACCTCAGGCATTTGTTCCTATGGTCACAACATAGACTCATCATTAATAATTGTTCGGCCTCTATAACCTCCATTTCAAGTGTTCCTCTCCCTGATACTTGCCTCTTATCAGCTTACTACCTAAAATACAGTAATTTTAATCCAATTATGACCATTATTTGGTCATAGAAGCTCATATTGATCCTATCAAATTTTCAATTATTCCCCTCTACACTTGCATTTTATCACTTAAATTTTATTATTATTCATTATTATCACTCTCTTGCATATGACTTTAGTACTTGCCAATCTCTTTGTTGTACTAGCTTGAAAAATATGAACTCTATTCCCTAGTTGTACATACACAGCTCAACATCACTGACAAAACACAGCTGTGTTGATTAGCCTCACTCTCAATTAAAGGAGAGTTTAATGATTCTTGACAAGTATACTATATTTCTTTAGTCCATTCAGTTTCCCATTCTTCTTGAAAACAATTTCTTAGTGTTTCCTTTTTACCTATAATCTCCTCCTTCAATCTCATTCTCAGATGAAGACTGGAAAAAACTACAGCAAGCAGGAAACAACTTTTATGAGTTCTCTACAAAGCAGCTACCCACCTGTCTTTGCAAGAAATAGTAAGGGATATATAGGTAAGGTAGTCACAAAGCTACCATAGAGAACATAGGACCCAGGTAGGACTTATCAGCTGAATCTGAGAAAGGACATGGAAGAAAGAGAATTGACATATAACAATCTCACCTTATGCACAGGGAACATGTTCCAAGACACACAGTAGATGCCTGAAATCATGGATAGTACCAAACCCTATATATCTGATGCCTTTTCCTGTGTTTATATACATACCTTTCATAAATTTTAGTTTGTAAATTAGGTTCAGTAAGAAATTAGCAATAATAATTTATAATAAAATAAAACAACATGCTATTATAAAAGTTATGTGAATGTGGTTTCTCTCTCTGTGTTATAATCAGATAGATACTGAGAGACAATGGACAGGTGGTCTGTCTATACACTGTGGATACACTGGACAAAGGGATGACTCACATGCCCAGCAGAACAAAGTGGAAGGCACAAAATTTCACCACACTACTCATAACAGCACAACAGCACATAATTTAAAATTTATGAATTATTTTTTTAAGATGGTGGCTGGCAGGATGGCAGTGGGGGAGTGAGTGTGAATGAGGGAAGGAGCAAAATGGGAGAGTGTGGATGTGTGGGGTGTCTGTGTGTGTGAGTGAGGGACGGTTAGATCACACAGGACATTTAAGGGCTGGGCAACTAGGCTCGCATAGCTGGATAGCCTCTGCTGCTGCTGTAATTAAACCCAGGGTGGCTGGCTCTGCCACCACAGCCACACCATTTTGAAGGACAGAGCTGCTGTGCCTGGGATCCCAGCCTGACCACAAGCTCACCTGTCTCCTCGGAGCCAGCCCTGAGCAGCCACTTCTTCTCTGCAGGACTAATCCAGGGCAGTCCCAGTGGATGCCCCCAGGCAAGGGTCCTCAGCACTCCCCCCCCTCCCCCCACCGCACTGTAAACAGGCAACTCCAAAGAGAGAGCGCAGCAGCTCTGTCCTGGCCTCACACCGGGGGCTGCGGGTGCCCCAGGCCGGTCCCAGCACTCACTGCAGTTCCTGGCACTGGCATGTGGGTGCTGAGGGCCCTGCTCTGAGGGTGTGTGGGTGCTGAGGGCCCTGCTCTGAGGGTGTGTGGGTGCTGAGGGCCCTGCTCTGAGGGCGTGGGGGTGCTGAGGGCCCTGCTCTGAGGGCCTGTGGGTGCTGAGGGCCCTGCTCTGAGGGCATGTGGGTGCTGAGTGGGTGCTGAGGGCGTGTGGGTGCTGAGGGCCCTGCTCTGAGGGCGTGGGGGTGCTGAGGGCCCTGCTCCAAGAGGGTAACTGGTTTCATTCCTGCCCCCAGTGCACTGAGTGCCCCTGGATTCCCCCTGTGCCTTGGAGAGCTGCCCTGTCCCTGGCTCCAGGGATGGATGCCACCACCCAAGGGCATGCGAGTCACAGAAGAGAAGGATCTCATTCCGTCAGTAGAAGCCACGCCTTGGTCCCAGGGGAGGTGTGTTGCATACTGGCTCAGGCTCACTAACTGGCCCTGCACTGGGCCGCAGCTGCAGAGGGGGAGGCTGAGGTGAAGAGGCAAGTCCGCAGCCCGGGGGAGAGGCTGGGGTGGGGGGGAGCACAGAGGGACCATCCGGTCCCACAGGCGGGTCCTCGGGAGAGAGGCCTGGATCTTAAGGACACAGACAGACCTTACAAACTGAGGCCACCAGATGAGTGGTGCATCAGCATTGGTACACATTAAAGCACACACTGAGTGCACATATTTAATACCCTTACTGAAAAATATATCCAGTATATTTTAAAGCATACATAATAAAATTGCAAAGCACAGTTATCCTAGGCGTTAGAGACAATGATGACAGCAATGAGGGTTCTCCTGACCGTGTGAGTTCACATCTAAGACCTGTAACACAGTTCTGAGTTTTCTGTGCCTGAGCGGCTCGCACATGCGCCGTGAGCTCTGGGCGGTCAAGCCTTCCTGACGCTGGACACCCGGGGATGCCTCCCCTGACCTCCAGCAGCACGCTGTCTGCCCGCCATGCTCCCCCGCCGGTCCTTCTCTCTGGCTGTCTGTCCCTCACTCTGGGCCTCTCCTGGACACACTGACTGTGAGGCACCAAGAAGGCCCCGCTCAGCGCCTTAGGGAGACAGGCATGTCTCGCAATGTCACAACGTGCACACGTGCAGTGAAGAGCAACCTTTGGCCTCCAGGTGCTCCTGCACAAGCCCTCTGTGCACAGCTGTTGCCCAGGGTGACTGCCTGCTCCTGGCTCTTCCCCTCTGTGCTCGGCTCCCAGGGGACCCTGCAGCTGAAACATGGACCTAGCCTGACTGGGTGGCTCATGGGGAGAGCCATCCTGTCCAGTGCAGGCTGCAGGTTCAATTCCTGTCAGGGAATGTACAGGAGGCAACCAACTGGTGTTTCTCACATCGGTGTTTCTCTCTCTCCCTTCCTCCCTCTCTAAGAAAATCAATAAAAACATATCCTGGAGTGACAATTAAAAAATTGATCTAAGTAATAAATAATAATAACGGTAACAGTAATAACCACACTAACAGAATGTTAAGTCTGGCCAAGAACTATTGTAGGGACTTTATTCATGTAGTGCCCCTGAATGGGCATAGTGATAATTTTACAGCGGAGGAAGCTGAGGCACAGATCCACTGGGAAAGGGTCCAGGGTTCACAGAGCAAGCAGCAAAGCCAGGACTTGGGCTCCGCATCCTGCTGCACAGCTCACACCAAACCACCAGCCATGCTGCTCTCACCGCAGGCATGTCACATGGAACCTTCTAACAAAGCGAGCAACTGACGATCCTTTTTTGTTGCCTAGCGGCTGATGTGGTCTGGCACCCATCCTGTTCGTAAGTATTTGTGTAAAATCAACAAATGTGTTTGACCAATTTGGAAAGATCCGGAGAATTATTTTAATTAAAACCCGTGTTTATCCTCAAAGGTAGTTGTTTGGGGTTGCCTTTGAGAAGTTCCTACAAACCGGCCCCGTGAAGCCTGCCCAGGATAGAGCAGAGGCAGCTCCAACCATCCGGGCCTGCAGCTGTGGCCGGCCACACAGACACCCGGAGCCTGGCCCTGCCATGCAGCTCCCCATGCCCAGCCCGCAGCCAGCACCCCGCACTGTCCCGGTGTTGGAGGTGGTGGCTTATGTGCAAGAGTGACATGTGGCACTGTGCCTGTCACGATGTCCCCTATTGGCTGTAGAAATGCCCTTTCATAAACTTAAAATCCATTAGTTCAATGAGTAGCATTCAAAATGCTTACAGTTGTGCTTTTTGGTAAGGCACGCAGCATGTTGATCATTCCCAGCCCGATGAAGCTTCCTGGTGGAACTGGGAGCTTCATGGTGGAACAGAGCATGTTGCATACCCAGTTGTGGAATAGGAGGAGATGGGAGAGCTACCTCTGTAGCGTCCAGAGTCTCCTGGGGCACGGGAAGCTCGCTGGGGCCTCCTCCCAGCAGCTCAGGAGCGGGATTTCCGTGGAGTGAAATGGAGGCACCACGCCCATGGCTGGAGCTCCTTCCTCAGCCCCCGAGCTGGCAGCTCGCCCACACGCTTCCCTAAGGGCAGTTCCCGGCAAGCACCGGCTCGGCTTCGCATTCACCTCTCTGTGGTGGGGCCGTTTTCGCAGGCATCAGGTAAAGAAGGTTTTTCCAGAACCTTGAGTTATATGAGAGAGACCGGTCTGCCTTCCACTTAAGAACCCGGTGAGATTTCAAAAGCTCTAGTGATTGGGGCAAGAATGTGAAGTCCCTGACAGGCGCAAATTCAATGAGGATTATTTTAATTTTCCTCTCCACCAGTGCTTCGTGGAGTCCACTTTCAAGTTCATACCTCACTTCGTTAAACATGTAACTGGTACTTAGGACGATGATTAGTCTCCGGCTTTGCTCTATCAGTGAATGGATTTCATCAACAACAGCTGAAAATGCAAGGCATGGAATATTAATTTAAGAGAGCTGAAAAGGTGAGCATGAAGCAAAAATCATTCCGCACAGTCTAACTTTGTGTTATTTAAGTCTGAAGCTCACAAATAAGTTTTTTCTTAAGACAAACCATGTATTCTCCATTTTATATGCCTATTAAAAGCAATTATCAGGTAACAATAATGATTAATTTCTTATCACTTCCTCTGTGCCACACCCTTTACTACCTGTCTTATGTATATTAACTCATCATGATCCCTAAAGAAAGTACACCCCGTTTTACAGATGAAGAAGCTGGAGCACAGAGTGGTTGAGTAACTGGCCCAGAGTCACACAGCTAGTAAACGGCAGAAACAGAATCTGAAGCCCCCTCTCTGCCTGGGTACTGGCTTCTGACTGTGACACTGTCTTCCTTCCCACACACCTGGAGGAGCGCGCTGACATCAGAATTTGACAATAAAACCAAAACCTGCCATTATTTTAGACCAGAGGCTGACAACCTTTTTCTGTCCGGGGCCTGATAGTAAATATGTCAGCTTTGCAGGTCACACAGCTTTTGTCACCGCTCGCTCTGCTGTGGGCACTGAAAAGGCACCTGCTGCAGGCGGCGAGGCCTGGGCGGCTGGGACATTGCCCTCTGCTCTAGACCTCGATGACTTTCCAGACAGAGGCTGTAAGGGAAGCGCATCACCGCGGAGGACACACCTGCATCATTTTCACAGTATTTAGGAACTAAGAAAAAAATCAAATTCTCAGAACGGCTGCTAGAAACCAGTGATAAATAATGAAACGGACGTGAAGGCCAGCAGTGATGCTCGCTACTTTCTAGGACGCATTAACGCACAGGACACAGTGTCCCTGTGTCTGCGGCTGAGGCTGCCCTTCCTTCCGGAGTCGTCTGTCAATACTGGCAGCACATGTTCGCTTCCTGAAAGAGGAGGGAGAGGGCGGGCATGCTGGTTCTCACTTATTGCCACGTCTGCAACGCCCAGTTCAGACCCGCACACCGATGGCACCCAGAGTTCGGGCACATTATTGGTGATACAGCAGCACCCACGGCACCCACTTCCAAACACTTGCTCTGCAGACTTCAGAGAAAACAAGGAGCTGCTTCTCATGATCGTTGATTCTCACTGTGCTTTGCTTCAAGACATGCATGATGACCATTTGTATTCACATATAAATTTAAAAACTGCACTTTATAACTCAAACATGATGTGAGCCACCAATCTCCTTTTATCTATTTTTCCAATGTCCCTATTCCCACCGAAGCTCTCTGCCCAGGCAACGCGGTGGAGGGAGAACACCGCTGTCTGTGCTCACGGGAGCACGCGCTCCGCTCCATCTGCTGAGCCAAGAGTTCTCAGAGGCCCTTCTCAGTGGCTGCGAGACCGCCTCCTGAGGGGGCCACTCGGCCTGCTTCTAAGATGCTGGCCCCCCCTCGCCCCCCATCGCACGAGTGGCAGGTCCCCACAGGAGCGGCCAGTCAGCCTCCCTCACTGCTCACTATGCTGACTTTGTCGGTTACTTCTGGCAAGAGGACCAGGGAAGAGTGCTCGTTTTTAAGGAAAGCGGGGTTAGCCTAAGCTCTCAGCCTATAAAGAGAAAGTGTCTCCACGAGTTTTCGGCCTGCCAGGCCCTCTCTCACCGCCTCCGGGTGCCACGTCCCTCTCGAATATGCACAGCTTGTACCCGAAGTGCCCCTCCAGCACCCGGGGCAACACCTCCACCGCGAAGGCGTGCTCCTGCCCGCGCTCCGGCTGGCTGCCCTTCAGGTAGGACACAAAGGCGTCGTATGTCTTCCCATCTAGGAGGCAAGGTTTGCTCCTTTAATTCGTGCGTAAATAAAAGTTTAAGTTCACATCTGAATAAAAGTCACGAAAAACGAACATGAAATTATTGAAAAAGAAAAATTAAATATGGCATCCTTGTGTCCACACACATCAAATTGTAGAGATTAAATATGCACAGGCCTTTGTTTAATAATTATGCCTCAACGAAGCTGTTAAAAAAAAAAAAAGAAAATATTTTTGATAGAAAACAAATTGAAAAACAAGACCTTTTGGGTAATCTGTAAGGTCCCTACATAGTCTTTGGTTTTATTATTCTTTTTTATGCATTACTAGAAACTCATGCACAGGGGGTGAGGGGATGAGTCCCTCAGCCTAGCCTGCACCCTCTCCAATCTGGGACCACTTGAGAGATGTTCCACTGGGGTTGGGCCTTAACGGGCAGTCGGACATCCCTCTCACAATCAAGGACTGCTGGCTCCCAACCACTCACTTGCCTGACAGCCTGATCACCCCTTAACCACTCCCCTGCCAGCCTGATAAATGCCTAACTGCTCTGCTGCTGGCTTGATTGCCCCTAAATGCCCTCTCTTGCAGGCCTGGTCACCCCTAACTGTCCGCCATTGAAGGCCTGGTCCCCCACAACTGCTTTCCCCTGCTGGCTTAATCTCCCACAACTGCCCTCCCCTGACGGCCATCTTATGGTGGCCATCTTGTGTCCACATGGGGGCAGCCATCTTGTGTGTTGGAGTGATAGTCACTTTGTATATTACTCTTTTATTAGAAAGGATTTTTTTATCTCTGAATTTTTAAATGTCAATAAACAATGATTATATTCAATTATCATTAAAAAACAAAAAATAGCATCCTCAATGCTCATATGATAATTGAGCAATCAATTAGCAAGTGTTTTTACTTTTAAGCATATGCGTTGAGACTCACTGTTTGACATCATGGAGGGACAGAGAGAAATTCATGTCACAGGTCAGAGAAACAACAGAGTTTAAAGGTAACAGAGGACCAAGTAGCCCAAATTCTAGTATGTGCTGGGCCCGTTAGAAAGTAAATGTCACCTCAGCTTATTCCACTTCAGTCATTCAATTCTATAACCATCCCATGTACACCTTCATACCTCCCCGGGAAGTGGCGGTAAATTGGTTGTTACAAAATAGTCTGGGGTGTGGAGCACAGCTGGGGAAGAGTCAGCGATGCTGTATGCACTAGGGGTGTGCCAGGTGGTGCCCGGAATGCCGGGGTCACTTCGCAAGGCATAGAATTGTCTAACCACGTTGCTGTGCTCATTAAACCAATCAAACCAATGTGATTGTAAACTGTGATTAAAAAAAATAAAACAAATTAAAAATCAACGCGGAGTGTTAACACTGGAGAGTGGGAGGAAACAGCTGAGCACAGGGAAGCCGAGGGAACCACACTGGTACGGTGAGACGTTACAGAACGCCGTGGCCAGTGCGGATACTTCGTTGGTGGGAAGGTCTGCATCGACACATCTGCTGCTCTTAGCCCGACAATGAAGCGGTGCTGTGGATGCGAATGACCGGAGACACATTCAAGAGGAATGTGCTACCTGGAAACCTAGACCATTCTACTCACTGCATTTCTAACAATTTATTTGCATGTCTTTCTTCTACCTTTATCCATTTGTCAGAGACGAGTTCACAGACGAATGCAACAACTTGAAAAGTTTACAAATAACACATCGGCAGACACAACAAAGTGTAACACAAACAAAACAAAAAATAATCTGGTCGGAGAATGCGGAGTCCCCATGGACAAGTGCTCTGAAAGGACATGTGTTCTAAATAACACGCGTGTGAGGGGCCAGGAGAGGAAGAGGGGGCGCTCCATCCTTATCCCAGGGCAACTGGTTAGCTGATGGAGGAGCCAGATGTATGCTCGGGTCCAGGATTGGGATTGATAAGTTTGCTTCTGAGTTGAAGACTAAGTAATATTAGTTCCTTTATTAAAATTTAATAGACAAAACCATAGAGCTCACATATTTGTGGCACCAGTGCTCAACAGCCTGGCCCCATTCCTCACAGCATCCAGGTTCACAAAGAAACCATTTCTGGCACAAACTGCTTCAGTCCTGCCCGCAGCCTCTTGTCCTGAGTGTGAGTCAGAGCCCACCGAGGGTGTATTGCAAAGCAATTGCTCTTCAGAATGACATGCATGTGAATGACGGCATTTTCATCAAAGTTGCAAAATTATCATGCTTATCCAAGGTAGGTTACAAGTCAGAAAAATAAAGCCAGTTGTTAATATAGTGAGTAAGTGGTTCCTGAATGGTTCTGTCAGCCTGTCTTGAACTGTGCATTAGGATGAGAGCTAGTGCTTCCATTAGCAGAGTCATCATGTCAGTGAGTGAAACAGGCATCAAGATGCAAGAAATAAATGAGTACACTTTGTGACAAGGTATATTTTTTAGCATAATCGGAATGTACTACTTGCAATAAATTGGAAAGATACATCAGTCAAATTTATATAGTGATATAGCTTTCAAATTCATTTTTATGCAGTTCTCTTCTTGGTTTAGCAAATATACTAATCTATATTAAATCTTTTTTCAACCCAAGGAATGAAAGGTTTGGCGGCTGTAATGACTGATAAATACAGTGAGGTGCCACGCTAAGCAAAGTGGAAGCTAATCATTTTGTTCTGCATAAACGAAACCAGCCTGCGAGGATGTCTGGGGCCATGGACAGTCAGGATGCTTCTTAGACAAGCTCTGTGTGCACGTGACCATGTTTTAACTTAAGTTTAGTTTTGTTGTTGTTGTTGATTGATTTCTTTCATTTTCAATTATTCATAAATCAATATCTGAACACGTTCTTGAGTAGTGCAGCAATATTAAATTGCTCTAATATAAAAGACTTGATTTTCACACTCATTTGTCTATTTTTACTTCTCAGGCCTGCTCTCTGTCATGGAGCATGCTCTCAGCAGCGCTGCTGTGGAGTATGTCTCCGACTCCAGGCGCCACCTGGGCGCTCAGACCTGAGCTCTCCTCTCGGAAACAGAAGTTTAGAAAACGATCTGTGCACTGGGTCACTCACAACTGGAGGGCAAATAGCACCTTAGTTGAAAACCGAAAGAGAGTTATCAGTGAATGTCCATTCTGAGATGCATACTGGTCTGGAGACCTGGCGATAAGCTATCCCACACAAGGAGCCTCAGCCATGCACTGAAAGGTTGTGGGTTCGATCCCCAGTCGGGGTGAGTACGGGAGGCAATGGGTTGATGTTTCTCTCTCTCATTATTGATTCTCTCTCATCAATAAAACATCAATAAAAACACCTTCTTGGGTGAGGATTAAAAAAATAAAAACAGGCCCCCCCCAGTTTGTTGGAGCATATCTCTCCATAGCAAAATCACACTCACATGCAGGTTCAAAGCTAAATTAATTACCTTTGCTAATTTTATATAATTAAATTAAAAGATGTAAATGTGAATAATCAATTTTTTAAAATCTCAAAAAATATAACAATTCCTTTGTAACTAGAGCACCATAAGAGAAAAATAAATGTGAATACATTAAAGACTATTCCACATAAGAAAGTCAAAAGACAAATACAACCTGGGAACAATATTTGCCTTTCATATTGTAGATAACAGGCTAACAACCATAAAATAGAAATTGCTCCTAGAAATAAGTGAGCAAAGCAAAGCAAAGCAAACAACCCAATTAAAAAACGGACCAGGAAGGAATGGCCCGTTGAGAAAGGAAATACCACGGGACTCTGAGAACACGAAGCTGCCCCTGCTCCTGCGCAGGGAGGGACACGCAAGGAAAACCACCCTGAGCTTCCCCTGTTACCTGGCTTTTGGCCAGATGCCACAGGTGGTGGGTGAGCTGTGGGAGCAGCTGTGCCCTCCTGTGAAGGCAGGAGGTAGGAGAGCAGCGGGGAGGGCAAATTGGCAATATTTAAAAAAAAAAAAAAATAACAACAGCATCTGAACTTTGTATTTCCAGCAATTCCACTATGGGGAATTTTTCCTTCAGTCACACTACACACTTATGAAATAATGACAGAACAAAGCCATCTGCCACACCCTTCATATAATGACAAAAGGTTACAAACAACCAATGTCTATCAAAAGGTGCCTAAAGCTCTAGCCGGTATTGCTCAGGGGATAGAGCGTCAGCCTGGAGATTGAGAGGTCCTGGGTTAGATTCCAGTCAAGGGCACATGCCTGGGTTGTGAGCTCAGTCCCCAGTAGGGGTGTGCAGGAATCAGCCGATCACTGATACTCTCATCATTGATGTTTCTCTCTTTCTCCCTCTCCTTTCCTCTATAAAATCAATAAAATATATAAAAGGTGACTAAGCAATGGCATATCCACAGAAATAAACCTTTGCAGGGTTTTATTTCTATGGATAAAAAATGAGAGACTTTATAAACTCATGGCAGGAAATCCTTAGAAGAGTGAAGCAAGTTCAGAGCAGTGTGTGTTATACAGCAAGACTTGCATTTAACAGAAGAGAAAGATTCATACCTGCTTAGTGACACCATTGGTGAGGTGAGGTGCGGTGAGGCATGGAAAGGCTGAGAAATTTGCCTACAATTTATTAGAGTGTACTTTGAATGTATGTGTCCTACACACATCATATACATGCGCGTGTGCGCGCGTGTGTGCGCACGCGCGCATACACACACACACACACACACACACACACACACAGACACACGAAAACAAAAGCAAGTACAACAGATTAGACTGATATTTTAATTCAGTAATTACATGGAACCAAGAGGACTTTTTGCTGCTCTTAATAAACAGGGGAACTGTTTAGACAGAGTCCCGGAAAGAAACAGTAGTAAAACCTGCCAGTCCTTCAGGCACCCATCAGCCACTTTTGCTGGTTAGAATAAGGAGCCACCATACAGTTCAAATCAACTTACATGGACTTTATTGAGTGACCACATTGTGCAAGGTGCCTGGATGGTGGCAAATAGTGACGCTGAGTCCCTAGGAGCAGGCATCTCACAGGGCGTTTAGGAGGACATGACATACACATACATGAAACAATTAGAGGACAATTGGGGCAACATCTAAGTACAAAGAAGGTGGCATAGACAGGAGGCATAATAATGATATACTCAGAGCCATGTTTCCTCTGGAAACCCTTACCCCACATTAAGTCACAACCTACTGTAAATAAGATGAAGGTTAATATTTTCTTTATCAGGTTTCCTAATGAAACCATAGGATAAGAAATACCAACATTCCAATATTGTTACCTGTTAATGTTTCATCTCTTCCCATGAGATGTCTACAAAATAGAGCCAAGTCAACTCTACAAATAACAGCCACAATCACTAGGCTCAGAACTACCACTGAGATCACAGCAGCTGTGATCATTCCTCCAGTGAAGACGTGGCCTGGGATGTCCCTCCGATCTAGAAGGAAGGAGAAAACGGGAAGAATTAGTCACGGACATTGTGTCCACCATCGGCCTGCAGATGTCTGCATTCACCGGGAACACTGACCAGCTGTCGGGCCAACAGTCCATTGAGCTGCTCCACATTCCTGCCTTCAGTTTTGGGGGGTGATCTTTTTACTCCCATTTTTAACAAATTGAAATGTGCACAGGGATATTCAGAGTCTGAACTGAAAGCATCCTATTGTCGCCTATCCCTGTCGGGGGCAGTGGGGCTCTAGGGTTGGAAAATGCTGGGTGAAATACACAAGCCTTGGCAGCAGCTGTGAACGTAAGTGAAGGCGGGAGTCTTGGGAGAGCAAACACTTAACCAGACTGTCTGGGCTCCCAGCCCGAGGCTGCACCGCTTTGTGTCCTGAGGAACCCCCCCAATGCCCCCAATGCTTAGTGTCTTAATCTGTAAGGAAGCTACCAGCACTCGGTGCTCCCCTCAGGGCTGCCTGCTGTGGAGTTCCATGAGAACTAGCGCAGCAGCTGAGACAGCGTCTGGCACAGCCTATGATGTTAGCGCACTTTCCGTAAGCCCTCTGGGGAAACTGCGTTCTCAGATTGGGTCAGTGCATGCTCAATATGGAGAATACAAAATAGTTCAAAAGAGTAAAAACTATAAAACACTTTTTAACAACCATCCCACAATGGGGTGTTGGGCATGCTAATAAGCTAGAATGTTTTGTTTTAGGTTTTTATTTCCCTCAAAATATTGACTAATTGGGGCCAGAGGGTAGTCACTCTTTCTTGCGTTGCAGTCTATTATGAGCAGTTCCTATGCCTGTGTAGTTATACTTCACAACGTCCCAGTACTTAGGCTGATTGTAACGTTTATAAATTTACCAATGCTCCATCCAACAGCTGCATAGACTGCATGCTTGTGCTTGGCGATTCTGCTAGAGCAGGTTCTAAACACTGAGGGGTTTCAGGTCAAAAAGTAGAAATGCATAAAGCTCTTGACATCTTGGCGCACATTTTAGGAATGATCTTTCCAGTGACATTTACTTCTAGGATATAAGTAATCAACTGCATTTGCTAAGTGAACTCTGAATAAAGCCAGTCCCCGAATCCTGGCCTATGAAAGGCTGGCCTGTCCTGACTGTGCTGCATGCACACACACACACACACACACACAAACACGTGCACACACACCTATACACGTGTGCATGTACACCCATATACACACACACAAATCTATACACGCCCGCACACACATGCATGTATACACGCATGCACATATATGCACCCGCGCACGTGTGTGCGCGCGCACACACACACACGTTCACACGGCCGCACACTTCTGCGGGGTCATGGTGGAGTGGGAGGCCTGTGCCGGGTGCCATCGGTGAGCAGACAGAGAGGATGGTGGGGCGGAACCCTCTGTGGCAGGGACAGGACATAGGCACTGACAAGAGGGGAGGTGGCTGGGGAACCATCACAAACCCAGGCATGCAATGAGCAAGCGGAAGCATGTCGGAAACCCTCCCCACACATGCCCGTGGGCTACGGCACGTGTGCCCCTAAGGCGGAAGGGCATCGTGACGAGCCTACAGGAAGCAAGAGCCTGAGCTCAGCAGTTAGTCTCACCACCCGTGGGTCTCACCGCCCGTGGGTCTCACCGCCCGTGGGTCTCACTCCCCACTGGGGTCTCACACCTGTGGGGTCTAACTCTGCTGTCTTCACTTGTGTGACGTGTGGTACAGGTCAGGGTGAGCGGTGGTCAGAGCCTGGCACGGCCTGTGTGAATGTGCGTGAGGAGTGCCAGCCATCCTGTGAGTGCGGGGTAGACCAATGGTCTCCAGGTGAGTGGTGGACAGGAACCAGGACTCCACACCCAGGAGGGGGGGCCTCAGGCTTAGGTTCTGTGCCCCTCACTCTTTCAGTTTCTCACCAAAGCCAGATAGCACACACTCTCCCCCCACCCCCCCTCTCTTCCTCTCTCTCAGATCCCAGTCTTTCCCTGCATGTGGGTGGTGCCGGCCTGGGAGGGAGTGGTGAGTGAGGAGTCACGGGAGCACAGCTTTCCGCCTGGACACAGGCATGCTGGGAGCGGCGGCAGAGGCGCTGGTGGGCCATTCGAGGGAGATGGAGGCGGCTCAGGAAAAACTCACAGGGTCCTCTGACCAGACCGTTCATTGTCCACTCGCCAAGTTCGGGGACTGGCCCGAGGCAGGGAGGCCTCTGTTAGCCGTCACTGAGGAATGAGCACCCTGGCCATGCCTGCCCAGCGGCAGGAGGCTGGGGCCCTCCAGTGCCCCTGGCTGCACCCTCTCCAGCACCACTGGCTGCACCCCCTCCAGTGCCCCTGGCTGCATCCATGTTGAGCTGTGCTCCACCCCCCCCCAATCCCCTGTGTCCTAGAGTGCACACCCGCTGGCTGCCTCCCCAGACTCTCCTCACCATCCATCTGCCTCCCTGCTCTGAGCCCTGGCTTCTACATAGGATTGGAGCTGAGGACAAAAGAGGAACTGTGTGCCTCCTGCTCTTCTTGGGATTGGGCCCCAGGGGTTCCGGCCGGGCTGGCCCTGTGTGCACACCTCGTGGGAGCAGCTTCGCATACTCAGAGAGAAAGGGGTGATCTCTGAGGGGCCCCTCAGCAAGCGTTCAGATCCCCAGACTTCCCAAACCAACATTTCTCAAACCTTTTGTTAATAAGATGAAGCGTTTGGTGTCTAGGCCTTTCTCGCTGGACACAGTGCAATTATATGAGAAATTTAGGTTTTTTTCATTAATATTCTCAATTCTCAATATTCTTGAAGCATGCCATTTGCCTTCTGAAGTCCTGTAAGGGAGGAAGGCAAGTTAGCAGACGCTTCGTTCACTGCAGCACATTCCACGGAGCGCCTGCCCCCGAGGCCACCTGCTGCCCAGGAGCCAGCCCCCGAGAGCAACTACCTAGAACTGAAAACGCGTAGCAGGACATGGCACAGGAAACATTCCCTCTCTTAGATCTCTGTCCTGTTCTCCTCCTCACCTGCTCAGCGCTCCGCTCCTGCAGCCAGGCCTCTGACAGCTGTGGCCGCACTGCGAGGGCGGCCTGGACCACACTCACAGCGCTGCCGGGCAATGCCCACGGTCCCTGTTACTCTGGTCAGTGTTTAAAGCCATTTTACACCACACTGTGCCGGCACCGCAGGGAGAGGCCCAGGCTGCTGCTCAGTGAGCGTCAGGAACCACAACCCCTCACGAGGCTCCTCTTGGCCTCGGGCTCACTCACTGTCCACAGCAGGTGAGGGCAGCACCCCCCTGCCCCTCGCAGCAGGTGCCCACCTGGGGCTGTGCCCACTGTGGCCCCCAGCATCGCGGAGCAGTGTCACCAGCATAGAAACACCTGCGCTCGGACACTCAGACCAACCTGAGAGGCCCCGGCTGCAGAGGCCCAGCAATGACCTAAGAGGCTGGTGCTTCACAGTGAGAGGGACCTCCTGGCATAGCTGGCTCCAGCCCCCTTTAGAGCCTGCTCAGCGGCCTGCAGCCTCGCCAGGAGTCCGATGGGCACTGGGGGAACGCGGCTCCATGGCCCCCGTGGGGGAGCAGTGGCCAGGAGCGAGGTACCCGCGCACCAGCAGTGGCCATGGTGGCCGGGCTCTCAGACCATGTGGATGGCCACACACTTGGCGTGTTTGTTCTCCGCAGCCTGGCCACTCCTTACAGAGAAATAGAGGTGGCCCAGGTGTTTTGCACCAACAGTGCCTCCTAGATGCTTATACCTCATCACTTCCTGTTCGCTTTTTCTTCCTGTTCTCACTGTGTTTCTAATTTCCATGAATGGACTTTGACAGGAAAATAGTCAGTGTGTTCAATGTCAATCCAGGTGACTGCTGATTTGCTGAGACAATCCCTGGAACCTTCCATAGCTGATACAACCCCTCAGTGCGCTGCTAATTTCTTAGGAGGTGACCGCTGCCAGGTGAGCTCCCATACGGAGCCATGAGCCGCCTCTACAGGGCGGGAGCCGGCGGCTATGTCATAAGGCAATTCCCAAAGCACACAAGTCACTGCGTTTGCACGACTATTTCCTTCGCTGTGATTTTTAGGATTTCTCAAGTGTCTCACGATGGATCGTTTTCAACCATCAGACAAAGAAAGCCTGCGTGTGAGGACAGGTGGAGACGGCCGGCAGCTGCACGGCCTGCGGGGCTGGGACGCGGAGCCGCTGTGCACACAGACCTGCCGTTCGCAGGAGGCACGGATGTGGCCGGGGACACCCTCTGTGCACAGGCCCACGCTGACTTGCACATGTCACAGGCTCCGGACCTGCCTTCACTCTGGCACATTCGCAAAAACAAAGCCCTTAACAGAATCTTCCCGATCCGAACACCGGTGGCTGGTTGCCACTCCTTTGTAAGAGGCGCAGGTACAGCCTCTGTCCCTGTCAGCTGGCGGACTAGGGCTACTCTTGCGAGGCGATGCTAAGAGCTCCTTGATGTTCTTTCCTCAGGTAAATCTCAGCAATGAGTTTCTGCACCACCCAATCAGCACAGAGTGTGGGGATTGTAATTATAACCGCAAATTACAACCTATGCCAAACATTCCGTTAGCTCTTCAGGTGTCTGGAATGTTCACATCAGACCGGATGAGGCTGGGGCACTCACATATGTGATGCTGTCCATCGCACATGGCGTCTACACACCTGGCCTTCACCTCCTCCCCTTCGTGCTCGTTTGGGTCCTGCCCGTCCTCTCTGCGGAAGGTCCAGTAGATGAGGTCCTTTTCGTTCAGCGCAGCGGAGCAGTTGAGCTGCACATCTGATCCTAGGAGAGGTTGACAATGCTCTGATTCTATTGTTCTTGTTTTTCACTTGTTCTCCATTGGTTTTAGAGAGAGGCAGGGAGAGGGAGACCAAGGTGTGAGAGAAAAATCTAGCAGTTGCCTCTCATGAGCATCCTGACCAGGTCTGGGGATCAAACCAGTGATGCTATGATGTATGGGCTGGTGCACTGGTCACTGAGCAACACTGGTCAGGGCCAAAGTTTGATTTTAGAAACTCAGATTTAAGAGTTTTAACTTAATATAATCAATATATGCTAATGGATATATAATGAGAATATATTGCTACTTCTAGAAAGAAAACAGACATGCTTTGTTTTAAATATGAAAAGTATATCAAGCATAGAAATTAGGTACATATAACTCATCACCAAAATACGAATTGGTTTCTCTTCAAGTTTATGTTAAATAAGTGAGTAAAACATAGGTGGCCCTCAGCAGAAATGCAGTAGATAACCTCAACACATACACAGCAAAGCCCTGGCAGAGGGCTCAGTTGGTTGGAGCATCATCCCATGCATTGAAAAGTTGTGTGTTCACTTCCTGGTTGGGGCTTCGACAGAAAGCAACTGATATCTCTCTCTCTCTCTCTCTCTCTCTCTCTCTCTCTCTCTCTCTCTCTCTCTCTCTCTCCTTTCTCCTCTCTCTAAAAGTCAATAGGAATATGCCCAGGCAAGGATTAAATAATTATATACATAAAGCAAAAATTGACATAACTAAAGGATGTATAGACAAATTGGCTATCCTAGATATGTTAAATCTCTCATAGCAATAGATAAGAATGCACACAAAATATTAATAAGGATATAAATGACTTATCAACTTCACCTACTTGACATTAACAGGACGATAAAATCAAAACGTGCAGATGCACATTTTTTCAAATGCATTTGAACATTCATCAAAATACACTGTATTCCGCCCGCTGGCGTGGCTTGGAGGCTGAACGTGGAGCTGGGCACCAGGAGGTCACAGTTCAGTCCTGGTCAGGGCAGGTGCCTGGATGTGGGCTCCTTCCCAGTAGAGGGTGTGCCGGAGGCAGCTGTCAGTGATTCTCTCTCATCATTGATTTTTTCCATCCCTCTCCACCTCTCCCTTTCTCTCTGAAATCGATTTTAAAAATACACTATATTCTAGTCTTTAAGCAGGTTACTATGAGTTTCAAAAGATTAAAATAATATAGTGTATAATCTTGGATCATAATAGAACTATATTGGACATCAATTACAGAAAAATAACTACAAAATTGTCCAAATATTTGGATAGTAAAATCCATAAATGAAAGAGGAAATCATAAGAGAAAGTTTCTTTAAAGTTTTGAAAGAACAGCAATGAAAATCTGGTGTTTCAGTACTTGTGGAACAAACAGCTAAAGGTGTGATAAGGGAAATAGAGCTGAAATTGCATATACTGCAAGAGAAAGTAACTGGAAATAACTCCCTAACTCTCTGCACAGACAAATGGAAATGAGGTGCAAATTAAGCCCCAGATGAGGAGAAAACTAATAGACAAGGTCATAAAGCAGTAAAATAGAAAGCAGGAAGCCACAAACAGCGGCAGGTGTCCGAGCAGCACAGAGCGCGCTGTGAGCAGCCGGCCCGCGGCCTGGTGGGCCAGACCGGCAGCCTGAGCCCCGCCTGCGCCATGGCCGCGGCTTCGCAGACAAACACCGAACCTTTCTGAGCTCCAGTCACTTCTTCCTGACGCGGAAAGACTCCGAGTTGCTGAGGAATTTAACTCATTAGCATATTTCAATCACCTCACCGAAAACTTTGTGTACACTTAAATGTCTTCCTTCCTTCCTTCCTTCCTTCCTTCCTTCCTTCCTTCCTTCCTTCCTTCCTTCTCTTTTCTAAAGAAGATGCTGACCCCTCCAGACCTCTCTAGACAATTCCGGATTGCGCAGTTAAGTCAGAGCTCAATTCGTTAATCAGACACTCAAGTCAGACAAGTTTGAATAAGGTCCCTGATGTTCCTACTGAGTTTTCACACTTAAAAACGACCATGGCAACTGTCAGAAAAGCCACAAGCAGGGTGACTAAAACCTTGATTTGCAAACCACAGGCCATCCCAGGCTGTTCTTTTCAATCAGGTAAATTGGCAACACCCAGCCCATGGCGGCTGCTGCTTCTGTAGGGTTCCTCCTGCATGTGCAGTGTGTTACACACAGCGCTGACCATAAGGACCAGGCTTGGCTGTGGCAGACTTTGTAGGCCATTCATGGGTGCAGATATAGCATGTGAGAGCATACCTAACTCCACTTCCACATGGCGAACCTCTGGTCCAAGGATGACTGGAATGACGTTGCTGGGGCCTGAGGCGAGAAGGAAACGTGTGTTGGCATTGCTCCTGCGGGGGAGGCCGAGGTGAGGGCACGGTGGTCCAGTCCACTCATTCCGCCCGCACAGAGCCGGCCACTGCGGCCTCCCTTTCAGTCCTGCTAGCATTACCTAACGGTGCAGGGACTACTCCATCCCCTCCGGGCGCACAGGGCTGAGGGAGCTCACCGTTAGCTCTCTCTCCTGTCAAGCCCAGCCTCTGCTGCTGTGCTCGGTGCGAGGGAGCAGGGGGGGAGCTGCTCATGGGGGAACGGAGGCCAGGCCACCGGTGCCTCCTGCTGGGCCTCCCCCCCCCCCTCTGGGGCTCCTCCACTCCCTCCCAGCCTCTGCCCTGGTGCCTCTCCCCAGGCTCAGCTCTCCTTCTCTCCCTCGGTGACCTCTGCCCCCCCCTCACCTCTTCCCCCAGATGCTCCCCTCTAGTCTGGCTATTCTCAGGAAGGACCCCCGGAGCTGCTGAGGACGCCTGAGACCACCTGAAGCGGCTGCTCACTGCAGAGCTCAGAGCCAGTCACACCTGGCCAGTACAGGATCGAGGCCTGCTGCTCCTGTGATGGCACTGTACCCCCAGGCTGACCCTGGTGCATATTTGGTGTTGAGGGCGTTTACACCTAAGTCCAGAGCGGCCTTTCCGCCCTCCCGGCGCTCAATGAGGGGTGGGGGGGAGGCTCCCACAGTACTGCCCACGCCCTCACACTCACCGGGCAGGGCAGGTGCCAGGGAGAAGCGGGTGGAGCCGCAAGTGGGCAGGAACTGGAGAGTGAAACTAGGGCAGGGAAACCCCAGCAGGTCTGGCTCCTCTGAGATCCGGACTCACTGGGCAGGTCTGGAATCCCCGGGGAGCTGACTCGACCCCAAAGAGCCGCCGCCTGGGCTGGGATGTGAGGCAGGAGCCCGGAGCCCGTGCCGGGACACTGGGTGGGCGGCTCTGAGGCATGGGAAACATGAGAGAACTGACTCAAGACCCCGTGCTCAGGTCCTGGCGGCTGAGAGACCTACAGCCTGACCGGGTGTGGGTGATCCTCCTCCACACGGACCACGGAGCTCAGTGTCCCGTGTCATCAGGGGAGGTGAAGATGCCTCCTAGTCAGGGGGCAGTGCGGGATGGGAGTGAGGCACTGAGATGGTGCCAAGTCAGGGAGAGCATGGGCTGGGTCTTCTCGGGGGCTGCCAGCTGTCCCTCAGGTCTCAGCTCCAGTGCCAGTGTGTCCATGCTCTCATTCCTGTCTGGGCTTGCTGCCAGAGCGTGGTCACGTGTCTGCCTCTGCAGTAGAATGAGACGTTCTTGGAAAGAAGGGATCGAACTGATCCCTTACCTTGCATCTCCCACACGGACACCTGGCACTTGGTCATAGGAGGTGCTTAGTACATGCCTGCTGAGTGGATTAGGAAGTGTGATTGTCCAGCTCTAAGCTCTATGTTTGAGAAGCGTAATGCAAACATCACCAGCCAAAGGAAAAACGGTCAGGATGGCTAAGAGCCTAGACTTGTGGAATGAGGCTCACTAGTCCTAGAAGGCATCCGAGCCACAAACAAGCTTTAATTCACCTGGGGCTGCTGGAAGAGCCATGAGATGATTCCATTCCGGCACCCCAGGACCTCCACAGGAACGCAGTCCTGCTCAGACTTTGATTTTATCCCGGTCAAACCATGCTAGACTCCCATTTGCAGAACCCATTGGAGAAGTGATTTCTGTCGTGAGGGGCGGCGGGCGTGTGGCAGGTGAATGGTGAGCAATGCATGCAGCACAGCTACGTCAGTGGGTAGGTAACACGAAGAGGATCATGTGGCTGCAGCCCAGCTGCTCTGCTTCCTGAGCCCCCGCTGGGGAGTGAGGCGTCATGGGAGTCTTACAGACGGCGGGAGGCATGTTGAGGGGAAGCACGTTAGGAGGGGCCAGCCCATTGGTGTGTCACCGGAGAGAGGCTCATGAGGCTTGTTGGACTCAACAGGGAAAATGACTCAACACCAATCCGGGCCTCTGTGACCTGGTGGTGTCCATGGTCATCAGCCAGACGCACTGGATGAGCCGTCCTGGGCCACGCAAGGGACAGCTTCCCCAGGAAAGGTTAATCACGTCCCCTCTCAGGCCTCCATCACTCAAAAGCCCAGGCCTGAGATTTTCCACTGTGTGCACTGGGTCTATGATTAACCAGAGCGAGAGCCATCATCTCCAAACTGCACCCTCCGGCCCAGGCCTGGCTCCTGGCACCCTGTCCTCAAGCTCCGGCCTCCTGCCACCCGTTACCCGGAGCCTGGACGGGCGGCGGCCTCTTCGCCTCTCCTCACTCTCACTCCCTCTGCCCGAACTCCTCCAGTGACTCAGGCTCTGAGCAGCTGGCCCTGAACAATGAGGTCTGAGCTGCATGGCCCCTTGCTTACAGACTTTCTCACTAAATACAGCAAATGCACTTCCTTTCCCTTGGGATTTTCTTAACAAAGTGCTTTCCTTCTGGCTTAATTAATTGTAAGAACAGAATGCATATGACATATAAAACATGTGTTATAAGTAAGGCTGCTCTCCAAGACCCAGCTGTCAGTAGTTGAGTTTTGGGAAAACCAGAAGTTCCCCCAGGATTTTGACTGTGAGGCGATCGGCATTCTCACCCAGCGTGTAGCTCGGTGAGTCTCAACACTGTCCGGGTAAGATCGGGCTCTTGGGAGAGTATGTTACTCACTCCATTTCCCATGTCCCTGCTCCCGCCCTCCAGTGCTCAGAGGTTATTAAATGCAGGCACCCTCAGTAAATGTTTGTCGAGGGAAAACATATGCTTCACAATAAAAGACCCGCAACTTATTCAAATACCAAGTAAGGGAATGGACTCAGGGAAGTTCGCCTTTATGAGCTTTAATTCCCTTCCCCAGGAACCTCAGGCAGAGAGCACAGCCCCAGGGCTGGGCGCCTTCCGTTCCAGTGAGTGGTGTGGCCCCAGCGCCCAGTAACTTGCCTCTAGCTTCCTGTACCGCTTTAGGAGAAAAAACAGTCTCATTTGTTTCCTCCCAGATCTAAAATTCCTCTTACCTTCAACTACTGTTATTTTGTAGGTGCTGGTGACATTGAATAGTTTTCCGTTGTGATGAAGGAAAAACATGCAGGTGTAATACCCCTGATCTTTAAACTCTGCATTCTTCTTTAAAGATGGGTTTTTATTGTTCTCCATCTTCTCACAGTTCTGTTTTTAAAAAGCAAGTTAAAATATTTTAGGTAAAAGCAATGTTATAAGAATTCAAAATTTTACATAATTCTATTTCATGACAGGGGGAGGGGCGGGGCACGAGAGCAAGTGGCTCCGAGGACGGAGCACTTAGCAGATGACCTGCACCGGAAGACAGTGCCTGATTGGAAATGCGTGGAGACTATTCAAGTCCAAGACACGCACGCACGCACGCACGCACGCACGCACACGCCTCTGCATCTCACACTCCCACCTGTGTCAGAGGGATTAACAACAGGAACGCCACCTTGGCAGTCCTCTTCACTCAGGCAGGTTATGAAGCCACCTCAGAACCAGCCGGGGAAACAGGAACTGGACTGCTGATCCTGACTGCGTGCCCCTGTCCCTGCAGCTCCTCTCTCAGAGCGGCCCAGCTGGTGGCCCCTGGCAGAGGGCACAGCGTGGGCTGGGAGGCACCCACGTGATCTCGCAGCAGGGATTGCTTCTGTGGACACTGAATGTTTATGAACTCAAACTGACCCTTCTGAAATATCAGCGACTCTTACTTTTTTCCTGTCAGTTGTTTACGGAATCAGCTTCCTTGCTCCCTCCCTCAAGGAGGTCAGGATGTGTAAACAGGTTGGGAAACTGAGCGAGGTCATATGTCCAGCAACGAGAACCCAGCTCCATCCTCTAAGCCACTGTCTGCGTATGGAGATTGCTGAGACCCACACGGCGAGCCTCACATGCCATGTGCTGCACACATATGCACGCTCAGCAGGAAATGGGGTCAAGACCACTGCAGACTGGCTCAGAGATTTAGAAAACATTTTGCATAAGAGCTGTCCTTGAAAAACACTAGTAAACAGTGTTCACGCAAAAGGAACAAACAAAAGTTCCTAGGAAATCGGTTTCATCTTTCCCAAGGTCTTCTTTTCAGACCAGCCTCTCTCAGCTGCGCAATGCAACCACGGCCTTCACGCTTGTGCTTCTACAGAAATAATATAATCTGGGTTGTACATGTGCATGTATGCTATTTATGTATGTGTGTATGTTGTATTTGCATACATGTGAGTATACAAATGCATGTGTATATGTAAAATACATGTGAGTGTACACAAATCTCTCTATAGAACAATCTCTATAGTATTGTCTAAAAGAGCTCTTATAGCTTAACAAGTAAAAGGTATACTAACTGAAGAAAATAGACAAAGAAGGTAGACAATCCACAAAAGAAATAATACAGAGATGCAATTAATACACAAGAAGCGTTTGATGTGTTGTTGAGAAGAGTGGGGGCACTGCTAAGAGCTGCAGAGGTTGGCATGTCAGGGTTGAGCGGTCCCTGAGCAGCCCGCCAGGCTGGTGGCCACGGCGGGAGGAGGGGTTAGCTGGCCTGGCCCCTCGATTGGGGTTTGATGTGTCCAAAGGCACACACCTGCTCTTAGCTTTAAGCCAACAATCCCATGTTATGGCTTTGGTTAGAGGATAAAGTCATATATACACTCAAAGACTCACAGAAATAATTGTTTTAGACTTAGTAATAACGGTGAAAAGTAGAAACTAGCCAATGTCCATAACAGGGACTAGTTAGGTACAAGGACATACACTCGGAATCTCATGTCAGAAGAATGTTTAAAGATATAGAATGATGACAATATAATTTTTAGTGGATAAAGAAAAAATACAAGCCTTTAAAAATACCACTTTTTAAAAAAGATGTTTGCACAAGAAAAAATGTCTCTGGCTGATGGGATTATAAGTTACTTCTGCTATCTTCCTATTCATTTCTTTACCTTCCAATTTTATAAAATGAACTTACATAATCAGGAAAATCTATTCTAATGCCCTCACAGTTAGTGAGAAATGACCAAACAACCGAACAGCAGGTTGTGTGGGGGGACCAGGCTGGCAGGGGGGTTAGTTAGGGACAAACAAATGACCAAACAGCAGGCTGCGTGGGGCAACCAGGCCAGCAGGGTGGCCTTGAGGAGTGACTAGGCCAGCAGGGGGGGCAGTTGGGGATGACCAGGCTGGTAGGGGGGCAATTGGGAGGAACCAGGCTGGCAGGTAGGGGCAGTTAGGGGCGATCAGGTCGGCAGGCAGAGGTGGTTAGTAGTGATCAGGCTGGCAGAGGGGGGCAGTTAGGGGTAATCAGTCAGGCAGTCAGGTGAGTGGTTAGGAGCCAGCAGTCCCTGGATTGTGAGAGGAATGTCCGACTGCCGGTTTAGACTCAATCCCCAGGACTGGGCCTAAACTGACAGTCAACATCCCCTGAGGGGTCCTGGATTGGAGAGGGTGCCGTCTGGACTGAGGGGACCCCTGCCCCATGCACGAACTTTGTGCACAGGGCCTCTAATGTGTATATAATAGAATTTAAACTTTAAGTATATGTGGAAGAGGAAAATAAAAATCTTTAATATTTCTAAAAATTAATTTATTGAAAGAGAAGACAAACTAATGAAGGACAAGAGAGAGGAAGCCTTGTCACTCATTGAACCTTAGCATCAGGCAGGAGCTGTGCCCATGCCTCATGTGTAGACTCTCTTCACAGCAGCCCTGGTGGCCACTCACTCAGAGGCCAGTGAGCTGCCTGAGGTCACACAGCTTATATGTCCCCAGAACAAAATGCTCCACAGCCACAGACCCTCATCTGGGAATTTCGTCTTTTCTACCAGGTCAGAAGTTAAAACATTTTGAAAGTGTTACCTTATATAGTGCCGTTCTGTTGACCAGGTTTTGATAGTAACTATGGTTACAGTCCACCTGCAAAGCCTTCCCAACTTCCACAGTTTTACTAATTACTTGTTTTTCAGTAAAACAGTTGTGTTTACTTCTTCTGATGACATTTAATCTCCATTCATGAGTTTGATTTCTATGACATAAAGGTTTTAAGATAATATTTTATAATTAGTACAGGGACTTTGCAAATACCATCACTGAGTAACCAATGTAACAAAATTTTTTCCCGGTTTTTGTATAAAGAGACTCATTTACTGATGCCCAAACTCTGCTCTGCTCTTTTAGGTTCAGCGTAGCAAGAAATGTAACTGTCATGGGATGGGGGTAGAAGGCGGGAAAAAGATAAACCTGAGCAGGCCTGACAGCGCGCGTGCGCACACACACACACACACACACACACACACACACAGCCTATTGCAGACCAGAAATTTTTTAAACATCAACGATTTGGGCAATGAACAGTTCAGGGGTTCTTAACCCAAGACAGGAGGGGGCGGTGTCTTCCTGAGGCCCGGGACCTGCTCTCTGAAGTCTGAATTCTCAGGGCCCTTAGGGCGAAGCCTCAGGCCAATGCTTTCCTCTCACTGTGGTGTGGGCTGCCCTCAGCGGGTCCATTAGCGCTTACGAGCCTCGCTGAGCAAATGTTTATTTGAATAGATATTGTTGTTCCTTCTGATTAGAAATTAGAAATCTAAAAGAAAGAAATCTTGCAATGTTTTTAGAAGAAAACTGTTTGCAATCTAACGGTTGCTTAAACTGTGTAAGCAGTATGTAGAGTCCTATCCCAAACCCAGCAGTTCCCCTGTGTGTGAAAAGTCTGCCCAAGAGGGCTCCGGCTGCCCAGAGCCACTGGCACCCTGGTCCGGCTGCACGTGAGGGCGGGCTTTCCTGAGGGAAGTGAGCAAGTTTGCTCCCCAGTGAGTTCAGCATCTCCCTGGCACACACCTGGGAGCCCTGGGCCGGGAGGCACCCCATCTCTTTCATCCTGAAGGCCGGAGGGTTTGGCAGACTGTGTGATGACAATCAGTGTGAGCCTGGCCCTACCCTGGAGTGTGAATTTATACAGAACAGGTGGGGCTGGGAGCAGAGGCGCGGGCAGGCCTTCCTGGGCCTGGGTTACAGGAGGGCAGGGCCATGGCAGTGTGGAGCTGCGCCTCTCCCGCCTGCCCGAGTGACTGGCGCTCCCTGCTGGCCGCTGCCCTGGGCGGGCGGGTGGCGGACTCTCTGGGAAGCTGATGACCCCTCCCCAAGCTTCAGGTCAGACTGTTTCCTGCTCTGCAACCCTAGGCCCTGTCACTCAGCAAGCACTCCTCCGCTGCCCTGCACCCAGGCCTCTTCTGAAACAAGGGCCACCCTGTGCCTCCAGGAGCCACGGGGGCTGCAGCTGAGCCCGACTCAGAGTGTGACGGCCACAGCCCAGCCGGGCCAGTCATCCTGGTGCGAGAACCACCCAGGCGACACAGAGGGGTGGGAGAGACCAGCCCCTCGCCGGCCCGCGAAGCCCACCGCTGGGGCCTGCGCCTTCACGTTGACTCTGACCGCAAGGACGAGCCTGCATCCTCCTTCTCAGGGGGCTTCCTCCTGAGAACTTTCCTGGCCCAGGGGTTCGCTGCCGGAGTGGAGGGGCGCCTCCAGAGGACGTGACACCAGCCAGCGTTTCCTGGAGACGCCAGGCTGCAGCTCTAAGGGGACGGCCTGGGAGTGAGGCCCGCAGGACAGGTCCCACAGCGGCCACGGGCCTCGCTCACCTGCAGGGCGCCGGCTCTACGTGTGCACACGGCACTTGTGCCACCTTCAGAAAGTCCGTGCCTTCAAGGTTCCCACTCACTTTCAAAGCCACGGTCAGGCCTGCTCTTCCCCCCGCTTAGTCTCATCTCACTTACGGGCCTCCACCCCCTGAGCGCCCGGGCTACCGGCTCCTCCTGGCCTCCGGTCCGCGCCCTCTGCCACCCGACTCAGATCCCACTTCTCCCCCTATGCAGGCGTGCTCTCCACCTTCCGTGTGGGAGACAGCCATGCCCTGTCCCTGTCCGTCTGTGCGTGGCAAGGGAGAGGGGCCCCTCCCGTACCCTGTGCCCTGTTCACTCAAAGGCTCCTTCCCACCCAGGCTCGGGACACGTGCTGGCCACGCTCATGCTCCGTCACCTGAAAAGTCCGGCTGTGACTCATTTCTGGAATTAGGTCTCCTCACTACCTTCACCGTGCCCATCCGCCAGGACCCACCCCAGGTGCTCCCACACTGGCACCATCACCCGCCCCCAGCCCTGAGCTGTTTCCTGCAGGTCGGTCTCAGGTCTCTATAAACACATGCACACACAGACACCTAGGTACATACACAAGATTGCCAAAGTAGTGGATAAACATGGACCGCCATGTCCGCAGCAATCCCGTCACAGAGCACTCCTTCTCCAGCAACCCCCCCCCCCCCACACACACACACATACACTCCCATCAAACAAGGATAGAGAGCGCTCAGCAGCTGGCATGTCCAGCGGTTCTCTCCTTCCCTGGACAAGTTCTGACTCTGGGAGTCAGCACGCTTGGGCCAGGAGAAGGCTGTGCCAGGCCCTTCAGTGCGCCCCTCCCCCGACCCTGGGCAGAGCTCTGCCATCCACCGCCATGCACACCTCCTCCACCATTGTCACCGGCCTCAGCAAACACCTGGGGACTAGACCGGGTGCACCTACACCCGTCACCCACTGCCGCCCGAGCCCGCACTGCCAGGAGCAGGCACTGGCCCTGTTCTCGCTCACACCGCCTGTCCAAGCCCAGCCTCACGTTCCCCTAGACCGGCAGCTCTAGCCAGCAGCCTCCACTCACCTTTGGCAAGAACACCCTAAAAGGAAACAATTTAAAGGCAATGTCCTTTCATCGTCTTCATCTCATTAAGACCATTAAGAACATAAACACGGGGGCAACATCTAGTTTGATTCTTCAATAATGAAGTGTTTGTTTCTTATTGCAGGAAGAGTAGGACAGACACAATGCTTGGGATATCTGACCTTTCAGATTACTGTCCATTGTTTATATGAACCGAGTCCTGGAGTGCCGTGGAATGCACTAACGCAAAGAGCAGGATACTCACCCCATTTGGAAAAAGTAAGATCCACTGTCATCCAACTCAACTGGCCAAAACTCCAAAGCATAGCCATGCACAGTCACTCTGGGGGAACTGCTTGGGCGGAGCTCAGCTTGTCCATGTGAGCCATTGCTCTTGAGCCACTTTGTGGTGCTTGATTCATTCTCAGGGATCGATGAGCAATATTTCAGAAAGAAAGGTTCCCCTTCAAGGGCGTTAATATGAGGACGTGCAGTACAGGCTTCTTCAGAAGATTAGCACAATAAAAGAAAAAATCAGACGCACGGTGACATTGGTGATTTCCCGATGCGGAGGCATTTCCAGAACATCAGCGAGGGCAGAGAAACCGCAGGCCCTCCCCAGGAGGAGGCAGGGCTGGCCCCGCCCCGGGAGAAGGCACCTGCAGTGTAATTTCTTAAAAGTGTTGTGCACGACAACTTCCTCACATGGGGAGCCACAGAAGACAGGGTTGCCACACCTCCCCGAAAACATCCTTACTGAGGAGTCTTCGTAGAGATGATGCCAGAAAGCAGAGACTTCAGAGGGGCTTCTGCACTCAACCAGCCTACTCAGCCAGCCACTGCCCCGGTAGGCGCGGTGGTGGGTACAGATGCTGCATCTCACGTACTGAGATTTGATTTCTGGTCAGGCACATGCCCAGGTTGCAGGCTCAATTCCCAGTAGGGGATATGCAGGAGGCAGCTGATAGATGTTTCCATCTCATGGATGAATCTCTCTCACTCTCCTTTCTTCTATTTCTAAAAGTCAATTTAAAATATTTTTTTAAAGTGATACATTAAAATTGGTATTCCACACCTGCCATAAAGCTTCCTTGACTTCCCTGGCCTAAGGTGTGTCTTTCATATATACTACTAGTTGCTCTGACTAGAATATTTTCCTTAATATTTGTGAGGTATTCCTATGGACATCCTTCATGCCCTAAATTATGGCATGGGTCTTTGCCTTCATTTTGGGAAGGAGATAACTTGTGTAAAATGTTCTAAAAGTCAGTAAAAGTCACCTGTGACATATTCAGTTTCAAACGACACAAAGTAGATTCTAATCAGACAAATGTAATCTATTTCAGGATGCAAGGTTTCACATCGCTCTCTCTACGTTAACTCGGGGGCTGCCTTTTCTTCTTTCCAGATAAAGCCAAATGTTTCTTTATTTGATCCCACCCTGTGGGTGTTTAGTCTCTGTGTCAGAGCAGAGACACCAAAACATTAAGCAACTCTCTAAACTTAAAATCACCCGCTAATTTTAATAAATTCAGCATCTTCTATAGCCACCTCCTAAAACAAGCAGCTAAACCTTGTATGACTTACCTGAGGTGTCCCTAAACATAAGAACCAAAAGTGTCAAGGGCAGTTGTCCCAGTTGCATGTTTTAGGGTTCTGCTTCAAAAAGTTTTCCTGGAAAACAGAGTAAGTCAGGTTCAGTTAGAACTTTCACATAAAAACATATCTAAAACATCTTCTGGCACACAGAATTTTAAAAATGGACCCAGAAAATGTTCATAGACCTCCATCTACTCACCAAGTCTTCTTGGAACTTTCAGGCAGGTAGAATTAATAAAGTTTCAATGAAGTTTGGCATCCAGAAGAAATCCCTGGTAATACAATTTTCTAATACAGAGACTCTCATGTGTTTTAGGCCTGGTCTACTAAATCTTGCCTCCAAGAACAAAGTTGAGGACAACTGTATTTATAGAAAATCTGCAACCTACTGAAATATGTTTGACATCCTGCCCCCATAGGAGTGTGTGTGTGTGTGTGTGTGTGTGTGTGCATGTATGTGTGTGTGTGTGTGTGTTCCATTTGTTGTTTTCTCTCATTCATCTTCTTCAGAACACAAGTTGCAGAAGTAAGGAATGAAGTCTACTTTACATAACTGTCTCCCTGACGTTCAGCACAATGGTTAGCACATCATAAGAGTTCATCGATACTCATTAATGAGAAACAGGTATATGGATGTGTGTGCATATTTCTGCACTCATATGCCCATATGTGTTTATTTTAGGAAAATGGAGAGACAAAGTGGGAACTGCATACATTCCATTCAGAAACAGACTCAAACACTCAAATCTGAGTTGTCTTTCGATCTTACTCCAACCCAAGTTTTGTCCTACTAATTATGAATTTAGAGGTAAAATAAATAGGAAGGGTGCGTTGGGGCTCCTATACCAGGTCTGAGTTTTTTGTTTTGTTTTGTTTTAATAAATAATCCCATCTTTCTTTTATTTAAAAAATATTTTTATTGATTTCAGAGAGAAAGGGGGAAGAAAGAGAGATAGAAACATCAATGATGAGAATCATTGATTTGCTGCCTCCTCCACACCTGCTACTGGGGATCAAGCCCACAACCCAGGCATGTTGACTGGGAATCGAACCTTGACCTCCTGGTTCATAAGTCGATGCTCAACCCCTGAGCCACGCCGGCCGGGCAGCCATCCCATGCTTCTTTTATGCCAGACACCTCGCATCGCTGTTTGAGGACGCGCAGCATTACGGAAAGAGATTGGTCTCTGGGGCACATGACAAACTGCAACCTTGGGCAAGTTACTTAAAAGTCTGAGTCTATTTGCTCATTCCAAAATGGAGATGTTAAGAATGTCCGTCTCCAAAATTACTGAGCAATCTAAGAGCTAATGTTTGTGAAGACTTCCTGGGTTGGGTGCATGAAGCCTCTCAGCCCAAAGTAATTCTCTCACCAGTTACAACTCACCTCCCCCACTAAACAAAGCAAAACAAAAACACACAAACAACAACAACAAAACCCATAAATGCCCACATTCTGAATAACATTCAATGGCTAAGCTGCCAAACCATCTACATCAATCTTTATGAATAAATCACCAAGTACTTGACGTCATTTCCGGGAGACAATAATCAATAATGTAAAGGAAGTATGGAAAGTACCAACTGTTCATCATGAAATTAGAATATTTCTATGACTTACAGCAGCCCCTTCATACGCGCAAGCACACGCACACACGTTTGTTGTTAGCTATCTGTTCTCTTATCTAGGGAAGAAGGAAAAGGCTGCTTCCTCTGGCTGAGGTTAACTCCGCCTTGAAGAGCTGCTGCTTTCTTGGTCTGCGGTTTTTTAAATGTTCAAGGTCTCCTGAGAGATTAAGTTATTATGAGATGACTCATCATTCTGATGACTTAACTCAGTTTCAATATGAAACATGTTAAGATTCCAGTATACAAATTAGTGGGTATCTGCCCTGCTCTAAGCATGTGTATATATAAACTTTCTAATATATTTGTTGCAGATTTAAAAGATTAAGATATTAAATTAAAAAGTTAATTTCTAAACGAAAAGTTATTCTGAAAAGTATCATAGATAACTTAGTTATAAAATATATGTAAGAGGATGGAAGTATTAAATTTCTTGCATGTGGAAATTCTGGAGATTTTTCTAATAATATCAACATCAAGTAGTTTACTTGGATGTTGATATTATTTCTTGCCTTTACATAATTTTAAATTTTCTTCCTTCTTTTCTTTCTTTTTAAAAATGTTTCTGATTTCTAAAGTAATAGATGCCAATTATAGGATATGTATAAAACGAAGATTGAAAAGAAGAAAATAATATCAACATGTCTAATACTTTAGTGTGTTTTCTTGTACTTTATATGTTTTCAAATAACTAAGATACCTTTGAATAATTTCCTATCCTGCATTTTCCTGTGTCGCAGCAATCTCTGTCAACCCCGTTTAACTGTCACACACATTCTTCCACATGGGCAAGTTATAATTCCAGCATGTATTTCATGATAAATGGCCACAGCCATGTTCCCATGGAAGGCCGCGGGGTCCGCTTCTGAAACAGGGCCTCACAACCAGCCTGGCGGGATTCACATTCTCGCTCTCTTGTCACCTGCTAAATGGTGCTAGGCCAGTTACCCTCTGACTCTTGCTTTATTTTGCCTTGGAAAGGGAGAGCAATATCACTGCCCACAACTGGTGTGAACGTCACAGAAATGGCTATTCCAACATGCCTGGCGAATAATAAATGCCACTTAGAGGCTAGCTTGTTACTTATCTATAGTTCTTACTTTCTTGGTGTCACTACATGGCAGTACGAAGAATACATTTTGAACATTTAAATGCATACAGCATCCCAGAACTGTGGTAATAATTCATTATTTGCCTACCACACCCAAGTAAGCACTGAGCATTCTCATTCTTCAGTTAGGTATTCAGATCAGAACAGTGTAGCTCATGATTTTATATGCATTTCTATTGGTATAAAGAAAGCAAAACATTAGTCATGCACTTTGTAGCTAGTTTCCTGTTTATGAACTGTCCCTTTCATGCCTTTTGTCCATTTTTAGAAGTTTAGTGTTTTCTACGACTGTCATTTAGTTTACCTTTTGATTCGCCCTTCGATGTTTTATAATCTGGAAGAGTTTACTTTGTGCAGCCACCCTGTGGGGCCTTTGCTTTGTGATTTTCACAAGTACGTTATCATTTAGGACATGCCTTTCCCCTCAGTGGTCAAATGCATACTTATCTGCATTTTCTTTATTTTTATGGCTTAGTTTTTCTTCACATTTAATTTGTTTCATCCACTAACATATCCTTTTCTTGTTTGGTCAACGTCACTTATTTTTCCCAACTGGCCACCCAGGACCCACTTGTGAAGGATCACAGCCCTCAGGGCCAGGCGCCCGCCCCCTGCTCCTCCGTGGGCCTCCCGACCCCTCACTTGGATTCCTATTGACAGCGCTTCCCACGCCCTGACTGCCTTCCCGTGTCTGCTCGCTGGTTTCCCGGCCAGTAAGGAAGGCGGCACACCCTGAGGGCAGGGCTGTGTGCTCCAGCCTCCCCGTGGGGCGCGAGCGCGGCGCTGCTGTCTGCTGAGCCGCACACCTGGGGCGTCCGGTGGGTGTGCCCCTGCTCACCGGGAGGACCGCGGGCACCTCTGCCCCCTCCGCGCCCAGCCGGAGCCTCAGATCAGGTCACCCGGCGCGGGCCCGCCGCCCCTCCACCTCAGGGCCAGGGGGCAGCCCGCAGGCGGCACCCCGCGCCCCGCGGAGGGCGCCGTTCCCCTGGGCCTGAGGGCTCTGCTCTCGGGAGCCTGGGCGGAGGGCGCGGCGGAGGGGCGCCGCGGGCGGTGCTTACCTGCGGGCGCGGGCTGGGCCGGCTCCAGGGGGCGGCGGGCGCGGGAGGGGAGGCACCGGGAGCCCGGAGAAGGGGACAGAGATTGGCAGGAAGAGAAGCGGGTGCCTCAGTGGGAGGCGGAGGCGGGGGGGAGGGGCGGGAGGAGGGGCGAGGGGGGCGGGGAGGATGCTGGGATCCAGGCGGGGCCCGAGCCAGCGGCAGGGGCGGTCCCCGGAGCTGGGCAGTGGGCGCGGGTCCCCGGAGCTGGGCAGTGGGCGCGGGTCCCCGGAGCTGGGCAGTGGGCGCGGGTCCCCGGAGCTGGGCAGTGGGCGCGGGTCCCCGGAGCTGGGCAGTGGGTGCGGGTCCCCGGAGCTGGGCAGTGGGCGCGGGTCCCCGGAGCTGGGCAGTGGGTGCGGGTCCCCGGAGCTGGGCAGTGGGCGCGGGTCCCCGGAGCTGGGCAGTGGGTGGAGCCGTGTGGCTGTGGCTGGGAGGCTGGCGAGGCTGGGAGGCAGGCTGGTTGCTGTGCACACTAGGGCTGCAGGGCTGTGAGCACTTAGGTAAGGAGGGAGCCCCTGTGCCCAGCCCCCTGTGCCCAGCACCCTGTATCCAGCCCCCTGTGCTCAGCACCCTGTATCCAGCCCCCCCCCTGTGCCCAGCCCCCCTGTGCCCAGCCCCCTGTATCCAGCCCCCCCTGTGCCCAGCCCCCTGTGCCCGGCCCCCTGTGCCCAGCCCCCTGTGCCCAGCCCCCCTGTGCCCAGCCCCCTGTGCCCAGCCCCCCTGTGCCCAGCCCCCTGTGCCCAGCCCCCTGTGCCCAGCTCCCCCTGTGCCCAGCCCCCTGTGTCCAGCACCCCCTGTGCCCAGCCCCCTGTGTCCAGCCCCCCTGTGCCCAGCCCCCTGTGTCCAGCCCCCCCTGTGCCCAGCCCCCTGTATCCAGCCCCCCCTGTGCCCAGCCCCCTGTGCCCGGCCCCCTGTGCCCAGCCCCCTGTGCCCAGCCCCCCTGTGCCCAGCCCCCTGTGCCCAGCCCCCCTGTGCCCAGCCCCCTGTGCCCAGCCCCCTGTGCCCAGCTCCCCCTGTGCCCAGCCCCCTGTGTCCAGCACCCCCTGTGCCCAGCCCCCTGTGTCCAGCCCCCCTGTGCCCAGCCCCCTGTGTCCAGCCCCCCCTGTGCCCAGCCCCCTGTGCCCAGCTCCCCTGTGCCCAGCCCCCTGTGCCCAGCTCCCCTGTGCCCAGCCCCCTGTGCCCAGCTCCCCCTGTGCCCAGCCCCCTGTGACCAGC